GTCTAACGGAGAATGGAGACTAATAGTAGACTACTGTGGCCTGAATGAAGTCACACCACCATTGAGTGCTGCTGTACCGGACATGCTAGAACTTCATTATGAACTGGAGTCAAAGGCAGCCAAGTGGTATTCCACAACTGATACTGCCAATGCATTTTTCTCAATTCCTTTGGCAGCAGAGTGCAGGACACAGTTTGCTTTTACTTGGAGGGACATTCAGTTCACTTGGAACCGACTGCCCCAGGGGTGAAAACACAGCCCTACCATCTGCCATGGACTGATCCAGTCTGCACTGGAACAGGGGCAAGCTCCAGAACACCTGCAGTACATTTATGACATTATCATGTGGGGCAGTACAGTGGGAAAAGTTCTTGAGAAAGGGAGGAAAATAATCCAAATCCTACTGAAGGCTGGTTTTGCCATAAAATGGAGTAAGGTCAAGGGACCTACACAGAAGATTCAATTTTGGGGAATAAAATGGCAGTAGCAGTTTTGTGTTATACCTTAGTTACTGGACTGTTCTTATCTCACCCCATGGGAGTTACAATCTTTCGATTCCCCTCCAGGAGCAGGATTAGGGGGAGTGAGCAAGAGGCTGGGTGGTTCTCCGTTGCTGGCTGGGCTTAAGCCACGACACCTTGATGAATGGAGTTCATTACTGTGCCACGCTGGTATTTTCATTTAAAGCACTGTTATGTTTCTAATGCTCATTACTGGAAAGAACACCTAGAAATACAAATTGCATGTATTCAGTAAATGTCTGCCTTCTCTAGTCTGTAGATGATCATGCTTCTGTGATACTACCAACAGAATCACCTCCATTTGTTTGTTGTCCATGTCGTCCCCCCCCCCCCTTACAAATTTCCACCACTGCTCTACACCTCCAATACTGAGAGGCTGAAAGAAGGTAAGAGATTCGAACACTAAAACTGTCCCTCAGCTGTGTTACTGAAGTGTTGTAGGCCAGCATTAGTTAAATTATAAACCTGCTGGCAAGCAGACTCTGCCCGCAGAATGTGTTACCATTTTAATAAGGTCTGAGGCCCAAACATGACACAGGATATTTCACAGAAACTAAAAACAGAAAATCAAAACAAAACAAAAGCTTACACAAAAAAAAAATCCAAAACACCACAAACACAACCAAACACCAAAAAAAAAAACAAACACCACCCAAACACAAACAAAAAATTTCTGAAGCATATAATTACTTCGCCATTTAAAGACAAATTCCTGATGGAAGTGAGATTCCTGAAGTAGAAGTGCAATCCTCAAGTCTGGAAAAGAGGTCAGAACATGACAAAAGATATAGAAAACACTCAGAATCTGGGTACCAAAAGTTTTCTTCCTGGTTCCTCCCAGCAGCTGACAGCAGCAGATCTTGTTTTAGGAAAAGCCTATAAAGATTTCCTTCTGTGCCACCGGTAAGCATCACCTTTGTCCCAACGTGGGGCACGAAGGGTTGAGATAACGACAGATCTGTCCGGATTAATAGTCACTCATCACAATGACGATTTATTGGCTCTCAGAGTTGTTTCTCTTGATCTCACAGCTTCAGAATGTTGTAACTTACGTAGAGCCGGTATTTGCTGTGTTAGTGTTTATCAAGTGTGGGGCCTGGGCTAAGGTTCTTGTCTCACTGTGCTTTATGGCAATGGCTTGTAATACGGGCGGGCTCCAGCAACAGGGCGGGACGGACGTGGCCGTGGACTTGTACCTGGCCGTCCGGCTGCTCTTCACCGTCGTGGCCCTCACCCTACTCTCCATCTTCGTGAGGCTGCGGGGAGCCGAGGGGGAGCGGCCCCGGGAGCCGGCGGCAGCCGAACCGGCCCGGGAGAGCGGCCCCGGGCACCAAGCGGCGGCGGGAGCGGGGCCGGAGGCCGCGAGGGGACGGCTGCCGGTGGAGGAGGTCGGGGCGGTCGAGGAGAGGAAGGAGGCGGCTGCCGAGCAGCGGGATAAGGCGGCGGAGGAGCCGAGCCCCGCGGAGGAGCCGAGCCTCGCGGCCGAGCCCAGCCCCGCGACGGCCGAGAGCATCCCCCGGAAGCCGCCCGCCGAGCCCCAGGAGGATGCAGGAGACCACGCAGCATTTCCCAGCAAGGCAGAGGAGGAAGAGCTGGACTGAGGAAAAGAGAAGCTGGCGGTGGGAGAGCCGGCAAGCACAGCAGCTACAACAGCCCCAGTGACAAGTACAGCAGCATCAACTGAGAGTTCTGAAGGCTCTGAATGGCCTTTGGGTATCCTTGGGACCTGCCTGCTGATCGTGATGGGGATCAGCATGTTGGCACACACACAGACTGTGTGCTACCCACAACCATTTTGTCTGATCTCAAAAGTTAAGCAGAGTCAGGTTTGGGTCTTGTCTGGGGTTAGACAACGATATAGGGTGACCAAGAGATTTTCCCCAAAGCTGGACAGTCATGAGTGGCAGGGTGTGTGGGACAGTATGGGCAAGTGTCTAGTCCACTGGGCCCCTCCAGTGCTTTGGAAGCGTCAGAGATGGAAGGCAGCTGTATGGAGTCCCCAGCAGCAAGCTGCAGAAACTGCTTAAGGGGACAGTGAATTATTTTGAGCCTGGTGGGCCCATGGCACTTCAGGCCATCAGAGCAGAGATGCAACACAGAGATGGACTCATGATCGAGGGGTGGACTTAGCAATGGACACTATTGCCCAGGTTATTCACGAGTGTGAACACTGCACACAGTCTCTCCTGCTCTGGAAGACTGTTACAAGAGATGGAGCCTGACATCATGGACCAGATGGACTCAGCAGCTTTATAGGGACTGGTCTATGCACTTAGATAAGAGTGATGGTATATTGAAAATGTGGGATCTGAGCATGACGTGAATGGTATGGAATAAGGGGTGGATAATGTCCTGGGTTCAGCAGTAGCAGTCATTTTTCCCCTTCTTGGTAGCTGGTGCAGTGCAGTGTTTTGACTTTCGGCCTGGGAACAGAACTGATAGTGATGTTTTGGTTTGGCCAAGGACTTTGTGAGGCTCATGCTCTGCCAGGGAGGAGGGGAAGCCGGGAGGAAGCAGAGACAGGACACCTGACCCAAACTGACCAAAGAGGTATTCCATACCACAGCACGTCATGCCCAGGATGTAACTGGGAGTTAGCCGGAAGGGCTGGGAGACTGCAGGGTTGGAGGAGGTATCGGTCGGTGCTTGGTCGGGCTGAGGGGGGCGAGTTATCGGTCGGCTGGTGCTGAGGTGTTGTATTCTCTTCCCTTGTTATTTCCTTTATCATTATTATCATTGGTGGTAACAGTAGTGATTTGTGTTATACCTTAGTTACTAAACTGTTCTTATCTCAACCCGTGGGAGTTGCATTCTTTTCGATTCTCCTCTCCGTCCCTCCGGGAGCAGGGGGAGGGCAAGAAAGGGGGGGAAGTGAGCAAAGGAGTTACCTGACTGGGTTTAAACCACGACAACCTTGCACTTCAGAAAAGTTAACACCTAACAGATCAAGAGGTAGAGAATAATGGCAAACAAGGAAAAAAAAAGAAGTGAATTTATTCTTTATGATTTTATTTTTTAATCCAAAACTCATTCTTAAACCTCTGAAAACAGTTATGTGCAAGTTTTGGGGTTTGTGGTTTTTGTTTCGGCTTTGGGTGTGTGTTTGGGTTTTCTGGGTTTTTTGATATATATATATATATATAAAAAAATAAAACAGAAGCCCAGCAATTAATGATGGAAACACTTGCTCCATGTAGAGAACAGAACACAGCTCCCTCCCTCCCCACTTCAGGTCAGCAGCCAGGTGTTCATGTACTGCAGAACCTCTCTAAACTTTGAGGTTCAGCTCTGCAGTCATGAACCAACTCATATAAATACTGATGTTTGCCACTCTACAGTTAAATTACATCAAGCATCAATGCAATCAATTCATTAGCCGTTTTTTATTGAGCACCAACATTAATTACTTTTCAAGTCTTTCATTAAGCAACATACTGTCTGCTTTCCCAGTCTACATCTACCAGCTGATTAGTGTAAGCGTCGAGGAGAAGCAAGACAGGCCAACCCAATATGGGTGATAAGCAAACTTCTACTTTATTTGTGGCGCCCTTCGCTTAAATCCGCGTGGTGTTTAGCCACGCCTACTAGTCAGAACAGTATTGGTTAGTTCTACACAGCTTCCTTCACATTCTCCTCCCACACCTGGTATCCGGTTACCTGTGAGGCCTACCCCTTGCCTTGCTAGCACAAGGCCTCTAAGGCTCCATGGCCTTGCTCTTAGAGCCATTCTGCAACAATTCCCCCCTTTTTCTTTGTGTGAGCAAGACATTGTGGGTCGTTCTGTTCATTTGTTTTCACCACACAACTATAAGCAAGTCTAACAACTACAATGATTGAAATAACAATGATACATAAGCGCAGTCCTTCAAATAGCAGTGTTTTAAGCCAACCTGTAATGCCCCATGAGGACAACCATTTAGTTATCCCTAGGTCATTGCTCACTTGCAATTGCTGGGTAAGCTGAGCCAGGGTTTTCAGCTGTGCGTGTATCGAATTAGAATGACCAGAAAGATTCATACAACACATTCCATCAAACTGTAAGAAACTAAGGATAAGGGTATTGTTTATTAAGATTTATGTTAAGCCCAATGTAAAGGTTAGGCAACAAAAGATGTGAAATCGCTTACTCAAACAATCACCAGACACAGCTTGTGCAAGATAAGATAACCGTAATCGCTTACACAAACTAAACCAAGTACCGCTTAGCAGATGTTGACTAAAGATAACTGTAAGATGTTCCAGGAACTGGCGGAGATAAGACAAACAACTCCATATAAGGACATATGAGTAAAAGGTCAACTATGGAACAAAGGAGGAAAACTTCTTACTTCAGTCTCAACGATCACCAGGAGGCAGAGGTTGACCCCCTAACAACAGCGGAAGCATGCGCAGAGTACCTCCACTACTTCATGAACACGGAAGTGAGATGTATAAAAAGGGGCTGTTTGAACTGCTCAGCACGGCAGTTGGCCGAGCGCAGACTCCCCTGTCGTCCAGCGCTGTTTTTGCTCATATTCTACCTGCTATAATTAATAAAATTTTAATTGGATTATGATCCGTTGTGGTCTCAATTTATGACAATTTTCTGGTGCCGTGACTCGGATAAGGAACGGTGGACTTTGGTCCTCCGGGGAGGCGCCCCGCGACATTTCGCGGCCCCGCGACCAACAGCTCACCCCAACCTTACCGACGAACCTAAATTCTAGAATAATGAGCAAAGGAGAAACCGGTAAAATCCCATAAAATTCTGTGCACGGGAGTCCGGACGAAGACGCAGGACGTGTAAGTATATTGCGAAGTTGTTCGCGGGTTTGCCGTTCGGGCGGGATTGGGTTTCCTGGAATATAACGAGTGAGAGGTTCAATATACTGAACCAAGCGAGTGTGGACTCTTAAGTACTGGGTCTCCCATCTCCCGCGAGGGACTGGGCCAGGAACAAGAGGAGCGAGTGAGTGTATGTTTGTGGATATTCCAGAAGATGGGGGCGAAGGGCAGCAAGCCTTCGACTCCCATGGGAAGGGTACCCATTGTACCTAAGAATACCCCTCTGGCATATATCTTAGACAATTGGAGATATTTCCCTGGAACCCTAGGAAAAGATAAACAAAAAAATGATAGAATATTGTACTAAGATATGGGGAGGGAAGAAGATTTCTAAAAATGTCTTTTGGCCAGTCTATGGGTCAGAAGAAGATTGGGTAAGACAGCAATTAAACCTCTGGGTTAATAATAAAAACCCCTTAACCCGGAGGAGAGTCAATATGCGGAAGTGTGGCTAGAAAGACCGGGAGCTAGACTTTACCCGCTGAATTAAATAAAAACTAAACAAAAGAAAAAGAAGGGACATATAAAGAAGAATTGCAGAAAAAGGATCAGAGATGAGAAAATATTGAAAACGGAATAGGAGAGTCAGGGGCTCTATATCTTAGGGGACCGGAGTCATCATGAGCCCTTGATAAAATTAAAAATAGGTCCCCATAAACAAGAGTTCACCTTTTTAGTAGACACTGGGGCTGAGAAATCAACTATTAAGCAAATACCTGAGGGATATAAAGTTTCCCCTGAAAAAGTACAAGTAATTGGGGAAAAAGGAGAACCCTTTAAAGTAAGCAAAATCAAAAATGTGGTATTCGAAACTGAAAATAAATTTGGAATGGGTGAACTCTTGCTCGTCCTTGAAGCAGAATTTAATCTGTTAGGACGAGATTTAATTGTTGAATTGCAATTAGAAATTAAAGTGAAAAATCAAGAGCTAACAGTGTCTGCTTATCCTTTGACCGTGGATGATCAAAAACAAATTAACCCCGATGTCTGGTACTCTCCGACACAATTAGTAGATTGGAAATTCCACCGATTAAAATCCAAATTTCCGAACCCCACATACCTGTGAGGGTAAGGCAACATCCCATATCCCTAGAAGGACGGAGAGGATTAAAACCAGAAATTGATCGATTGTTAGCACAAGGAATCTTAGAGCCTTGTATGTCACCCTTTAACACCCCCATTTTGCCTGTAAAGAAAGCAAATGGGAAATATCGGCTCGTACATGATTTAAGGGAAATAAACAAAAGAACTATCACCCGGTTCCCTGTAGTAGCAAATCCATACTCACTGCTAAGCAAACTAGGACCCCATAACTCCTGGTATAGTGTGGCTGATTTAAAGGATGCCTTTTGGGCCTGTCCACTGGCAGAAGAATGCCGTGATTATTTTGCCTTTGAATGGGAAGACATAGAGACAGGCCGTAGACAGCAGTTGAGATGGACCGTGCTTCCCCAAGGGTTTACTGAGTCCCCTAATCTGTTTGGACAGGCCCTGGAAGAGCTCTTAAAAGAATACCAGGTACAAACGGGGAACGTGCTGTTACAGTATGTAGATGATCTGCTCATAGCAGGGAATAATAAGGAGGATGTAAGAAAAGAAAGCATTCGACTTCTAAACTTTCTTGCACAAAAGGGCCTACGGGTATCACAAGAAAAGTTACAATTTGTGGAGGAAAAAGTGAAATATTTGGGACATTATTTGTTTAACAGCCAGAAGATATTGGATCCAGAGCACATTAAAGGAATTTTGGAATTACCTATGCCTGTCACTAAGAGGCAAATTCGGCAGGCATTAGGGCTATTTGGGTATTGTAGGCAATGGATAGAAAACTATAGCTTTAAAGTTAAATTCTTATATGAACAACTGTCTAAAGACAAAATACCCAAGTGGACCCCTCAGGATCAAGAGCAGTTTGTCAGTCTCAAAAGAGAGCTAAGTCAAGCACCGGTTTTAAGCCTACCAGATTTAAAGCGGCCATTCCATTTATTTGTTAGCATACATGAAGGAACGGCATTCAGAGTATTAACTCAGGAATGGGCCGGACAGAAGAAACCGGTGGCATACCTATCAAAGCTGTTGGACCCTGTGAGCAGAGGTTGGCCGAGTTGTTTACAAATCATTGTTGTTGCTGCCTTATTACTTGAGGAAACAAATCGCATTACCTTTAATGGAGAAGCTGTCTTATATGCGCCTCATAACATCAGGGGAGTGTTACAACAAAAAGCAGAAAAATGGCTTACAGATAGCCAATTATTAAAGTATGAGGGAATACTTATAGAATCCCCTAAACTATCTTTGAAAACTATTGGAGCAGTTAACCCCGCTGAATTTTTATACCCAGGAGAAGGTAATGAACTATTGCAAATTGTTTTCAAACAATTGAACAACAGACACGCATTAGGCCAGATTTAGAAGAAGAAGAACTACAATGTGGAGAAGTATTATTTATAGATGGGTCATCACGAATAGTGGAAGGTAAACGATTGTCTGGATATGCCATCGTTAAGTTGGAAAAAGGAGAATTTAAGACAATAGAATCAGGCCCCCTGAGTGCCAGCTGGTCGGCTCAAGCCTGTGAGCTGTATGCATTGTGGAAGGCATTAGTGTCACTGAAGGGAAAGGATGGAACTATATATACAGACTCACGCTATGCATTCGGAGTAGTACACACTTTTGGAAAAATATGGGAGGAGAGAAGATTTGTTAACTCACAGGGAAAGGAACTAATACACCCGGAATTAATTCGGTGAGTTCTGGGAGCATTGAAAATGCCAAATAAAATAGCAGTTGTACATATAAAGGGACACCAGCGAGGTACAAGTTATCAAGTTAGGGGAAATAATGCAGCTGATACAGAAGCAAAACGAGTGGCAGGCAATTATAGTATGATTTTGACTATGCAACAAGTACCTGTTAGTAAAAATTTGAGTTTTGAGTCTGCAGAAAAGGAAAAACTAGAACAAATGGGAGCTAAGGAACAAAATGGGAAGTACATATTGCCAGATGGGAGAGAAGTCTTGCCGAAAGGCATAGCACTCAAAATATTTTCAAAAATACACAGTAAAACACACTGGGAAACCCAGGCGTTAGTTGATCATTTCAATCAACAGTTTGCCTGTATAGGCGTATATAATATAGCAAAGACAGTCACGGCAGCCTGCGAGACCTGTCAAAAGGTTAATCGAAACAACATGAGACAAAGACCTCTTGGAGGACGTTCCCCAGCATACAGACCTTTCTCACACATACAAGTAGATTTTACTGAACTACCTAGGGTAGAGCGTTATAAATATTTATTAGTTATGGTGGATCATTTAACACATTATGTTGAGGCTTTTCCTACCTCCAGGGCAACTGCTAACCAAGTTACTAAAGTGTTACTTGAACACATTATACCTCGATATGGAGTACCTGAAGTAATCGACTCGGACAGAGGAACACACTTTGTGTCAAAATTTGTTAGAGATCTTACAGAAAGCTTGGGTATTAAGTGGGAATACCATACACCATGGCATCCACAAAGTTCGGGAAAAGTTGAAAGGATGAATGGAGAAATCAAAACTATTTTGACTAAATTAATGATAGAAACCAAATTATCATGGATTAAGTGCCTACCCATGGCACTATTAATTCTCAGAACCAGACCCCGAGCAGATGTAGGAATATCAGCGTTTGAAATGGTGTATGGAATGTCTTATAGAATTGAAAGTCCACAAACAAATGTTTTAATTCGAGACCGTGTGATTAATGAATATGTTTCACAATTAGCAGAACATCGTAACAAGCTTTGGGAACATGGACTGATTGTGCAACGACCCCGTTGGACTTAAAAATTCACAATGTTAAACCTGGGGATTGGATATTGATTAAAGTGTGGAAGGAAGAAACCCTAAAACCCAATTGGAAGGGACCTTATCTTGTTTTGCTTACAACAGAAACAGCTGTCCGGACTGCTGAGCGTGGATGGACTCATGCCAGTCACATTAAAGGCCCAGTGACGAGACCCCACTGGAAAGTAATCAGTACTCCAGGTGACACCAAGATAACCCTGAAAAGATAACGTAATGATAGAGACTTTATTTGATTATTTCACCGCATTACCTTTTGGTATAAAGTGTGTATTGCTGTTTATATTTGCTATAATTATTTCTCTTTTTTTCTATTATATATGGAAGCGTACAAAGTGTGCTGAAGGAAATTGCTAAACTTATGCAACCACACAATAGTGAATATAGAAGATATGCTGATGTAAATAATATATGTACTCTAGATATACGAATTAGGTGTAATAATTTGAACTGCAATTGTTATCCATTTGCTTGTTTTAGGTGTAAGGTATGCCAGGATAAATGGTGGACACACTGTGAATATGGATACCCTACGATAGGAGTTTGCACACAGTGTTGGAAAATCCAAAGAACTCTCACTGAGTGGAAATTAAAACAATTAGAGTCTAAACAAGAAATTATTCGGGAATCCCATGAGTGATGGAAGATTTTTGCCAAAGGAGTAAACCCTCAATATTATTGTTACCACTCCAACGAACCAGTCCCCTTTGTAACTGAAATTTTGGTTATAAAGTGTAGAAGGGAAGTACTAACTGTGCCTTGCTTTGCCCCATTAGTTAAAGCTGCAAAGTGGGAAGCCTATGTAAATAGGCAGAAAGCCCGAAACAGCTACTCTCCTGAAGAATTCCCTTGCTGCCAAGAAGATGGTACACCCCGTGGCTCGAAGCAACCGAGTCGACGGGGGAGGCAGAGGAGGAACAAACTGTGGAGAAAAGGGCCAGAACAATGGGACGCAAAAGCAGCAATGGCCAAACTTCCCCAGGACTGGTAAAAATATACTTAAAATAGCAAAATTGACAGACACCCTTTTTTCCTGGTATACCGTTAGTTTTGTTATTGATAATAACCCAAGTAAATGGAAACCCGCATGAACCATTAAGATGGGAATTAATATCCTGGGAAACATCCAAAGTGATAGCCACCTTCATTGGGGCGGGACAACCTAACTTCCCTGTACAACCTGTATGTAGATTTCTTTCAGCTAATTGTGAAAATGTATCACCATTTTATATGTGTCCCTCTTCTGGACCCGCTTATTGTCACCTCCCTGGACATTATTATTGCGGATACTGGGGATGTGAAACAATTGCTTCTGATTGGTCGGTATCATCTCCAGATAGACATCTGAAGGCAACCTGGGAAAAACTGTGCCTATTGTAATTGTGAGGTATTACCTTGTGAGTGTTACGATAAATGTTGGGATTGTGGAAAAAGGTTTACTTGCAGTGCCGAGAATGAAAGTAGCGTCTAATAAACAATAATAGGATAAAAAGAAAAAGGGGGGATTGTAAGAAACTAAGGATAAGGGTATTGTTTATTAAGATTTATGTTAAGCCCAATGTAAAGGTTAGGCAACAAAAGATGTGAAATCGCTTACTCAAACAATCACCAGACACAGCTTGTGCAAGATAAGATAACCATAAGCGCTTACACAAACTAAACCAAGTACCGCTTAGCAGATGTTGACTAAAGATAACTGTAAGATGTTCCAGGAACTGGCGGAGATAAGACAAACAACTCCATATAAGGACATATGAGTAAAAGGTCAACTATGGAACAAAGGAGGAAAACTTCTTACTTCAGTCTCAAGGATCACCAGGAGGCAGAGGTTGACCCCCTAACAACAGCGGAAGCATGCGCAGAGTACCTCCACTACTTCATGAACACGGAAGTGAGATGTATAAAAAGGGGCTGTTTGAACTGCTCAGCACGGCAGTTGGCGGAGCGCAGACTCCCCTGTCGTCCAGCGCTGGTTTTGCTCATATTCTACTTGCTATAATTAATAAAATTTTAATTGGATTATGATCCGTTGTGGTCTCAATTTATGACAAAACTCTTCACATCCATGTCCCTGTTCCAACAACAGGAGGTTCTGCACTGTTGCATGTCTTACAGAGTCAACATTAAACAACAAATCAGAAATTGCCTTCAATGTAGTATTTGTCTGCTTAGCAACTCAGTAACTCAGTCTGCTTAGTTGAGCCAAGGCCCCAGCTGAAGCACTTACAGTGATTTGGCATATTATGATTGGATACATGTCTTGAAGACCCTTAGTGAGTAGCATATAATTGGTTAAACACAGGTGTGAGAACTCAACCTTGAAAGCTTGCCAACAGTCCACAGTTCTCATTAACTTGGTGAATTCCAGCCTCTTATCTTGCTTGCTTAAGCTTCTTCAGGCCTCTCAGGGCCTTGCTGTATCTTTCAGGATTATTCAAAGTTTATGTACCAATTATGCATTCTCCTGTGAGAACACTGTCTCCACATCTCACCCCTTTTGTTTTATCCAGTAACAAGTAGCTACTACAGCAAGGCACACACACATTTACATTAGCAGAGTAACTATTACAGGGTGCAGCAGCAGCATGTTGAAGATGCTGATGGTAGCGAGGGAGTAGCTAAAGAAATTTCTTACCAGTGGAATTCTCCCACACTCTTAATTTGTTCCATTACCTGCTTTATAACACTACCATTGTATTAAAATCTTTCTAGCTTTTGCCTTAGCATTTTTCTAGCAGCTACTGCAAATTTGCATACTCTAACATCTCTTTTACAAGTGACAAATCTATACAATACAAGGTGTAGTTTCTTATTAGCAACTAGCTAGTAAATACAGGTGGTTTTATACACAAAATCACAACCTCTAATAATAGCTACTTTACAAGCACACATATTCAAGATGTTACTTTGCAGTTGCCCCCAGGTGATGTTTTGCAGTTATTTGTTCTTTCTCTTCCTCTATCTCACTCTGCTTGGGGTAATCACGGTCAGCTCCTGTAGCTGAGGCATCAGGTTTTTCCATTCGTTTGTCCTGCTCATGGCAAGGCTTCACAAACTTTGCAGGCAGTCACCATGGACCTGTAGGCAGGGGGACACAAATATATCCCCCCCCAGGTTATCAGTTCTTGAGAAGTAGACAGGTTAGACAGGTTAAATGCAGCATCATTACTCTCTCTCTCCCCCACACCCTTTTTTTTTTTTTTTTAATCCCTGCAAAAGCCCTCCTGCTGGCAGCAACTATAGCAGCCTGCCTGCTTCAGCAGCAACCATAAATACCTGCTGGCAACCGCACCTTTACATTAACCCTTTCATGCCCGAAATGTTAAACAGCTACCCGTTGAAAGCTTTTACATGAACCCAACAACAAGAAAAATACACAGAACACCATCTGCCCTCAGCACACACACATGCGTATGGGATGCCACAAGCACACACCACACAACTACAATATTTGAAGCACAAAATCCAGACAATCATTACTCCCACTACAGTTCCACGTACAGAACGTGGCACAAGGACCCTGTGGAGACTAACAGCAAACCAGCTCCGAGAAGCATCATTGCAGTGCGAGGTGGCCGGCTCAACCTTAGTGGGCGTCCCCGCAGAGGCTCTGCCTCCCCCACATCGTATGAGGCTTGGGCTTTTATACTGACCAAAATGCACACTCATTCTGACACAGGTGGCCAGCCTGTGCTGGAAGAAGTGGCCAGCAGTATCTACAAAGGTCTCCAAGGTTTGATAGAAACCTGGACATACTAATATTTACCAACTTCTAGTACATGAGTATCACAGAGAAACTGTATGGGCTCCCCCTGTCAATTGCAAGAAAAAACTCATAACATATACAGCTTGAGTATAAGAGGATTTTAACCCATAGTGGTCACTGCTTGTCAGGCCTCCTTAACTATTTTGAGATCAAGAGCTTCCCACTCTTTAGCCCCCTGCTGTGTAGTAAACACAGGATATGCAAAGATGCCCATTGCAGAAAATTCACCAGTAATGATCGCATCTTTGGTTACCCATTGTTACAACTGAGCTCTCCAGGGCCAGTGAGTCTGAGCAGAGGACCCGGGAGACAAAGAGTCAGAGTCTGGAAGCAGAGGATATAAATCTGGCTCGGATTCAGGGGATTCGGGGGCTGATCCTGGGCCGAACTCAGGGTCTCCGTTGCTCGCAGCTATGTCTTTCTTGTCAGATGTCTCTCATTCGGTATGTAGCCATCTGCAGACCTGGCTCCTCCGTAACTGAGTTAAAAATTTCCACTCTAGGGCATAATGGGTTGGAAAGGCTCGCGGTTCCTTTAAATCTTCCGCTAGCGCATGATCTCTATTTTCTACGGCGTGCTTCCAAATGGTACCCCAATCGATCCGGCGCCGAGGCACCACTCTCTTTCTTTCGGATTCCTCGACATTTATCATGCGTATACCTTCTAATATAATTTCTCTGTCCTTTTCAAAGTCCCTACTTTCGGAACTGGGGTGGTGGGGGAGCAGGGGGTTACACCTCCTCCGCGGCACCTTCTGATGGAGGAGGGGGAGAAAAGGAAGGGGGGGGAAACCCTGTGCTCCCGCGAGTTGGGGGAAACAAGTTGTAATCTTCCCCCGGTTTCAACCGACCGGGGACGTCTGTTCCTAGTTTCTCCGTTGCTACCGCGGCAGTTTTCTTTTCAGCCTTGTATCTTTTTATACAGTTTATTACTTCTCTCCGTGGTTTACCGAGTTTCTTTGCCGTTTTATCATCATTAATCATTGAGTCAAATAGTTCATCACCAAGCTTTCGCCAATCACTCTCCTTAAAAACTGTATTAGGATCTGCAAAAAAAATCCCTTAGCCTTCCCTACAGCCACTAGACCTGCTAGCTGCTTTAGAGTCTCAGGCTCAATTCCCCGCTTTTATAAAAAGCACTGTAATAAGTCCAGGGCTACCTCTCGGTCCATTTTCATGGCCGGCCTTTTCCGGATCGTCTTCTTCTGGATCGTCCTGTAACCTCGGTCTCAGGATCGGCCTCCCAACGCAGCAGTGTCTGGTTCGCCCTAGCGGCGGACTCCTTTCGGTTAGTCCAAGCACCCGGGTCCGTCACGCCACCGCATCAGCATTGCCCGCGCTTCCCGGCCGCTGCCACCGGCGCTGCTCACTCGCCGTTCCGGGTCCCCGCTAGTCGGGGCCTTTTAGTCCATGGTCCCTGTTTGGGCGCCATTTGTAAGCGTCGAGGAGAAGCAAGACAGGCCAACCCAATATGGGTGATAAGCAAACTTCTACTTCATTTGTGGCGCCCTTCACTGA